GAGGAGGCAGCTTCTCCTCAGTCGTATTTTGAATGCCTTCAAACCCGAAGGATTCATCTTCCGGCACTGTATCAGACAATATACTTCTGCTATCCATAAAATTTTCACTGGTGATTTTCTCCCAGTGTATCACCAGGTTTCTAGTCTAAGCACAGAATCTCTGGGGAAATGTTTCCATCATGCGTGACCCTTCTGGCATTAGAAATATCAGTGGTATAGATTCCAGCATCATCACTACATGCTGGTCACCACAGTACACTAATCTGACAGTCAAGGGTGATTGGCCACTGAGGAACTGATAAATCACAGCTGGAGGGATGGCTAAGGTCTTGTCAACACAGGGAGGTGGCTGAATGTTAGGAGGCCCAGGAATCTTTTATTAAGTCAGACCCTGGTGCTGGAAATAAAACTCCCAATTAAACACTTCCCCTACCGGAAACTACTGCGGCATCTATAATCAAGCTAACAGTCGCCATTCCACGTGGCTATGGACACTCAGGGCTGTGAAGAGCTGCTCTGAATCCATTAGCTCCTGCTCCCTGGCAACGAGGGCAGCCAGCAAGGTAAGGCGTCTGATGCATCGTAAGTCTTTAACATGTAGCCACATTGCAGTCCTTGCTACCTCCCTGACCCCAATTTCTTAAACGGGCACTTCTTCATCGGGTCTGGAGAAGGAACTTTGACACCACCTCAGCCAGAACTCCACCGAGTCCCCATCTTCCCTTGGCAACCCTGGGGCTGTGGTAAAAGCTCCCAGCTCAACGTCACTCAGGGGAGGTACCTGTCAGAGTTTCCAAGAATTGTGAACGACTGGTGATTTAAAAAGGATTTTACGACTCTCATATAATTAGAACTAAACTAACAAACAGGTAGGGATCAGGAGGGGGGTGCAGCTAATGAGGCTGGAATGATTTGTAACAAGCACATCAGCTGTTTGTGGGCAAACGAGGCTTTTGAAGGGCCCTTAGGCAGCCAACAGGCTCTCTGCAGCACTCAAACCGTCTCCTCGGAAATCTTGTTTACACTAGACATTTCCTTTGAAAGCCTTCCTTCCTTGGCTCATCTGCTCCGGCTCTCTTAGCTTAATCTTGAGTCTCAAATTCTGATTAGAGAAATCAGAATTCAAGAGCTTGGCTGGAGTTCCTGGGACACTATATAGCCCTGAGGTTTCAGACTTGCCCCCATCTCCAAAGCATTGCCTGGGTATCCTCCCCTCTCCTTTTCCCTTCTCCATCTGATTGTCCTTTCAGGTCCAGTCCAACGTCACCTCTCCCTGGAAGCCTTCCTGATGCCACACCCCTAGCAGAAGACATGGCTCTGACCTTCCTCCACCACAGATATGAGAAGTCATTATGGTCCCATTTTACAGATGAGGAAACTGAGGCCCAGGGAGGTGAAGTGAGCTGCCTAAGATTACACAGTTGGTTGAAGGCAGAACCAGGACTTACCATTTCATGACCCACCGTTCCTTGAGGACTGCTGACCCATTCAGCACTACGGCCAGAAGCGGGGCAGGGTGGGAAGGCATCTCCCTTTCTCTCTCTTCCTCTCTCTCACATACACACAGCATCCCTAACTCCTGTCACATGCCCAGTAAATGGTTTGCATTTAATTATTTCTTTAGTCTCTCACTCCTCTGCCTTGATCAGACCCCCATGGACAGCATCATTTGGACTCCCTGCCCTTTAGTGGGTTTGGTCAATGGGAGGTACCAACAAGAGACAGAAGGGTAGGAGGAGAGGCAGATTGGAGTATTCCTTCCTTGCTCTCTCCTTGCCTTGGTTCTGAGGTTCTGATGGTCATAGCTCTGCTGAGTGGTCTCTCTGTATAGCTCCAGCCTTCAGGGGGCCCCTGTCACCTCGTTCCTATCCCTCTGCTACTCAGGTCTGAGGATGGTAAGGTTTTCTGCTATGATAGCCCCTGGGTACTTTATATTTCTGGCCCCTCTGTAGAATAACCACACTGAACTGTGAACAAGATCGGCGATCCAAGCCCACCAGCCACTCCACAGGAGAAAGATGAGGCTTTCTGCTCTCACAAAGATGTGCAGCCCCAGAAACTCTATGAGTCGGCACCAACTTATGGCACCTAATAACAATAACCCTGCCCAGTCTCTGTAAGTGGGATTTAAAATCCTCTTCAAAATTCTAGCTAGAATGTTTTCTGCTGGGGTCCTGCCTGACATAGCTCCCTTTTTCCCTTCCCCCGTCCAAAACACACTGAGAAGTTTCTCCACGGGCTACAACTTGACTAGGCCAAGAAAGCTCCAGAACTTCTCCAACTACTGCCTCATGCCCTGGGTAGGGGCCAAGGCAGCTCTGCCAAGGGGAGAGGCCAGGAGAGTTCAAGATACTGCTGACACTACTGTAGCTCATGGTGTCTCTGCGGGTCCCTAACTCAGGGAGAGGGAGGCGGTGTTGGTGATACTGAGTGTCAGAAAGGGAGTAAATTAGCTTAGTGAGCCGGGGGGTGGGGACGCGTGAAGACTGGCAGGGGGCCTGTGCATTGGCGGTTATCTTCACGGAGAAAGCAATAAAACCATGTTCACTCATAAATGGGCACCACCAGGACCTATTTCCTGCTCAAATAAAATTAAAGGTGATGGATGGAGCTGTACGCAGCAGGCAGAGCTGGGGGCAGCTCAGTGCTGAATGATCAGCCCTGTCCTGGGCCTGGCTCCCTGGGGTCTAGAGGCCCACAGAAGCTGCCCAACCGCTGGGTTCCAAACCTTCGGGAACCACAGAAAATGTGTGTATGGAGGGGCTGCAGTGGATTAGGGTGGCAAAAAAATCACAGCTACCATTTCTTGAGGACCTACGATCCACCCAACACACCCAGCTCTGGATGGCACTTTCCAAATGAACAAACCAAGGCTCAGAAAGGTCCAGGAAGCTGCCCAAGTTCACACAGTCAGCAGAACCATTAGATAGAGGGGTCAGATTTTCTTATCTAGGACAGGCATTCACTTGTCTCCATGCCCCCTACCCACACACAAGGGAGCCTGGTATAGCAACTAAACACACTGACTCTGAGGCAGACTCCTAGATTGAGTCCTGGGTCTGCTGCTTACTAGCCGTATGAATTTGGCAAAGTCATTTAGCATCTCTAGGCCATTGTTTCCTCATCTGTAAAATGGGAAGATAAGGAGTGTTTACTTCATAACACTGTTGTGAGGATTAAATAAGTGTCCATTGTAATGTGCTTACAGCAAGCCTTGCACAGAATGCCGTGTATAGTAGGTTCCAGGCTCTGCCCAGACCAGGGCTTGCCATGTGTGAAGTGGGTGTAGTGACAGAGTGGCTGGAGAAGAGAGCCTCTCTAGGAATTCTGCCTGGGCCTCCTCTGACCTCAGTCCCGTGTGCTGAGGTGAGGCTCCCTGTCAGGCTCTACCAGTTGCCCTGTCCCCTCCAGGAAGACCCTGGACTCCCCATAGTACGACCTCATCCTCCACTTGCTTCTGGGCAGGTTTCTGCTTGGTCTCAGGCCCCATCAAAGCACAGTGGTTAATAACATAGGCTGGATCCAGTCTTGGCTCTGTCATTTACCATATCACCCTGAGTGAACAACTTAACCTTCCAAGGTGTCAGTTTCTTCATCTGTACAATGGACATAACATATATAATGGGTAGTTGTCAAGATGGCATTCCTGGGTGGTACCAGTGGTTACTGTACTCAGCTGGTCACCAACAGTTTGGAGGTTCAAGTCTACCCAGAGGAACCTCAGAAGAAAGGCCTAGTGATCTGCTTATGAGGAACAAACCTTTGGAAACCCTATGGAGCACAGTCTATGCTAACACACATGAGATTTTCATGAGTCAGAGCTGACTCAATGACAACTTGTTTTTTTTTTGTTATTCAGTGGTTTAGTCCAGGAGTTGGTACAAAAGATGTGTTCAATAAATATTAGCTATTGGTGTGGCGCTGTAGGATCAGCACTGGACTAAACCACAAGGTCAGCAGTTCAAATCCACCAGCTGCTCCTTGGAAACGGTATACAGGGTCGCTAAGTCGGAGTTGACTCAATGGCACTTAACAACAACAATTGTTACATAAGGAGCCCTGATGACACTGTGTGCTGATAACTATAAGGTTGGCAGTTCAAATCTATCAGCTGCTCCATGTGAGAAAGCTGATGCTGTCTGCTCCCATAAAGATTTACAGTCTTGGACACACTATATAGGATCACTACAAATCATAATCTATGCAGTTCGTTTTCTCCCCTTATTGGGACAGTGAGTAACTTAAAGTGAGGTCCTTGTCTCCTATTAGCCCCCATGGTGCCTGCCTGGGGCTGGGCTCACCATGGGAGCCTGGGATAGATGGGTAGGAGGTGGGAAGCACATCAACTATCCCTCCAGTCAGGGATCCCTCTGAAGCCTCTGTAGGTCTCTGTACCCCAGTATTCCTCCCACCTACCCAGGTTTCTGCTGTAGGCAGGAGTGAGTTGGGGAAGGCCTCAGGGGTTTGATCAGTGAGTCCCTGAGAAGACCCCTGACTAGGTGCCCCTACCAGGTAGGGGGTAGCAGCATACATATTGTCATAAATACATGCATACAGACACAGCAGAGTCCTGGCGTGGTGCCGTAGGATAAGCACTAGACCGTAAGGTCAGTTTGAACCACAAGGTGATGGTTCAAACTCACCAGCTGCTCCTGTGAAACCCTATACAGGGGCACCATGAGTCGGAACTGACTCAATGGCACTTCACAACAGCAGCAGCACGCACATTGGAGCAATGACATCCCTATTCCCTTCTCCATGGAACTCTTTTCCTTGACTACTGATTAGGGGAGTTGCCTTTTCCTCTTAGTGTGACTCTTGGTACACACACACCTGCCAGCACGGGCCTCAGGTGGCCCAGGCTGCACCTCTGGTCAGCCCAATGCTCTCCACCACCTGCCCTCCACCCAGGAAAGACAGGAAGACCACTCACTGGGGGCCTAAAGACATTCTGGGATGGGAGGGCGGTGTCTCTGATAAAAGGAGGCAGCCCTACCCACCCCCACGCCTCAGCTTCCTGGATACAGGGCAAGGAAGAGATGTAGTGGTGGGGCTCACCGCTGTTGGCCCAGGGCAGATACCAGGGGCAGCTGACGTTCACGAAGGAGCCGGGTAACCCATCTGGCCAGCAGGCATAGTCGTCAAAAGTCCGGTTGCAGAAGAGGCCTAGGTGCAGGGGATGCAGTCTCTGAGTGCCTGTCTGGACATCAGTGCCCATTCCCCCCACCCCTGTTGTCCAGGCTGTTGTCCAGGCTGCCAGCTGCAGGGCAGAAACCAGCAGTGTCTCACCTCTGCTGAGCACTTCCCAGCCTAGCAGGAGACTAGCAGAGGGACTGAGTCACTTACCAGTCCTGGGACCTAGATCAACTTATTTAACATCTCTGAATCTGTTTCTTCATAAGTGCAAAGGAGATAACCCTGGCCCATGGGGCTTAATAGGGATAAATATTGCATTTTAGGTAGATACCTGAGCAGAGTCAGTGCTCAGTCAATAATCTTAGTAGGCCTAAATTTAAATGAGGGGAAAACAGCTGTTTATAGCCATTTCAAACGGTAGCACACAATCAAGAATTGATGGTACTGAGAGACAAAGTCCAAGGTGCACTAAAGGCAGTGGCGAAAAACAAAGCTCCCTGGATAGACAGAATATAAATGGTAATGTTTCAACAAGCTGATGCGGTACTGGAGGCACTCACTTATCTGTGCCAAGGAATTTGGAAGAGAGCTACCTGGTCAACTGATTGGCAGAGATCCATATCTGTGTCCATTCCAAAGAGAGGTGACCCAATGGAATGTGGAAATCATTGAACAATATCATTAATATCATCTGTAAGTAAAATTTTGCTGAAGATCATTCAAAAATGATTGTAACAGCACATCAGCGCATCAAAAATTCAAATTCGAGGACATGGAACCAGGGATATCGGTGCTGATGTGAGAATCATCTTGGCTGAAAGTGGAGAATACCAGAAAGATGTTTACTTGTGCTTTCCTGACTATGCAAAGACATCCAATGGTGTGTAACAAATTAAGGATAACAATGCAAAGGATGGGAATGCCAGAGCACTTAGTTGTGCTCAAGGAACTTGCACATAAACCAAAGAGGCAGTCATTGGAACAGAACAAAGGAATACTAAATGGTTAAAATCAGGAGAGGTATGCACCTCCAAGGTTGTTTCTTTTCACACTTACTCAATCTGTGCTGGATTATATAAAGAAGAAGGTGGCATTAGGATTGGAGGAAGACTCATTAACAATCTGTGATATGCAGATTGACACAACCTTGCTTACTGGAAGCCAAGAGGACTTGAAATACTTACTGATGAATATCAAAGACTACAGCCTTCAGCATGAATTGCACCTTAATGTAAAGAAAACAAAAATCCTCACAACTAGACCAATAAATAACATCATGATAAATGGTGAAAAGATTGAAGTTGTCAAAGACTTTATTTTGCTTGAATCCACAATCAATGCTAATGGAAGCAGCCTTCAAGAAATCAGGCATCAAATTGGGAGTGGGGGACTACAAAGGCAAGAAGTGACTGGCTTACAAGCTTTCAAGAGGGAACCTAGTGCTAGGGAGCATGGCGGAAGGCAGAATCTCCACTAGGTACTATTCAATCTGTCTGGGTGGAGCTGAAAAAGGAGATACAGATGGGTAACTCGTGATAATGTAGTGAATAATGCTT